AAACACACACACACACACACACACACACACACACACACACACACACACACACACACACACACACATATATATATATATATATATATATAAATGTAATTATATAAATGTTTTTTTATAAAAATAAAATAAAATAATATGGAAAATAATCAATTTACCCAAAAACATATAAAATCAGTACTAATAACTACTACATTTTGCACATATTATACCAAATTCAATTTTTGATATTAAGTTTATATAATTGCATCATCTATTAAAATGATATAAAGTATAAAAGGAAATTTATTTTACTGGATAAAAATTAATTTATTATTGATAAAAAAAATCTATAATATATATATATATAAAGAGAATAACTCATTCACTTCGAAAAAATTTCCCAATAATTCTTTTCCCTTCAAAACTTTCCTCCCATAATTCTCTCTTAAATATTTTTATATATAAATATTATTATAAAATAGATTTTTATATAAATAATATAAACGAAAAAACTTCTACAGTATATTTTTCCTCCAACTTTTTATATACAAATATTATTATAAAATAAGTTGATACTAAATAATTATTAAAACTAAACAAACATCTGAAAATATAAAACCTATTAACAAATGAACCAAACAAATTAATAAAATATATTAATTAATAACTACTAAATTTAAAATTGAAATAAATTAATGGTAATAATTACTAATAACTGCTACATTTAACTTTCATTAACTAATAGTTATTGATACTCATAATATTAATTACTAATAATACTATATTTAAATTTTAAATAAAAATTCCGTAAAAAAATCTAAATAAAAATATATTATAAAATTATTAATAAAATTACATACAAAAGTATTACTATAAATATGATATATGTATGTATAAATTAATTTGACATATAACTACAAACAATTTTAGTATTGATTTTGAATAAGATCCAATAATATATATTGTGTATTACTATATCTTATACTTATATTTTTTTAATAATATACCAACATATATTAATTTATAATGTAGGTAAAAATAATTTTTAATGACAAATATTGTCTCACTATAGGTATATCACTACATAACAATTTTTTTGTACTATTATATTAAGCAATTACTTAATTATAATGTGAATATATTGATATATTAAAAAAGTATATTAATATAGCAACAAAATTAATGAGGTCAAAAAATATATTATTTTTTATTATAAAATTTTATAATCTAACAATGATTTCGTTGCAACTACAAGACAAAGCTGTGAAGAATTTTCTTGAAGAAAGTCATATTTTTCAAGACAAATATTTCAAGGTTAGCTATTCATTTTTCACAATAATAATTTTATCAAATATTTGTATTGTTTACATTGTTACGAATTAAAGTACTCTTGAAGACATTATAGTAGTCCTGAAGACACTATTAAATAAAGAAATTTTTCATACATTTTTGAAATCTGTCTAGAAGACAATATCAAAGAAGAATGTTTAACCTCTTTTACTTTGTTAGTTTTTTTTCTCACCAGAAGTGGGAAAATGATGGAAAAAAATGAAATTGAAGGAATAAATTTTCTCACTAGAAGTGAGAAAATAATATGAAAAGCGAAAAATAAAATAAATTTCACCAGAAGTGAAAATTTTCATATAAATATATTACATTGTATTTGATCCTTTGATATAAATGAGGTCATCACCGGAAGTGGAATAATTTTGTAAATGTCATAATTATAATATTGAATGATATTTGAGGCACTTATAAATATTATGACTAATGAAGCGTGTCCTTAAGTCTATTTAGGTTTTGTGTGATTTCTTGAAAGGATTATGAGTTTTCCTACAT